GAACACAGAGTTAAGGGCTTCATGATTTACAGAAGCCATCAACCTGAAAATTTAAGGCTGTTGCTCTCCCCAGCTGTGCGTTTCCAACATCTTCAATGTTTTATAGTAAATTTCTAGCATCCAAACTATATTGTTTTAGCGAAAGCCTTAGGCCAGGTTAAAGTAGCAGGAGGAGCTAAGCATTCCTCCCACTACAGTGCCATCAATAGTAGGAAGTCTGCAACTAGAGTGTGATGGACAGATAGGCTTTGTGCATTATGAAAATTATACAGCTTGCCCAATATTTACAAGGAAGTTGCTGGGATTGGAGGGTTCGAGCTGTAGAGAAAGGCTGAATAGACTGCAGCTTTTCTCCCTGGAATGTTGGAAGCTGAGGGATGACCTTACAGAGGTTTATAAAATCATGAGGGGCATGAATAGGGTGAACAGGGGAGTCCAAAACTAGACGGTATAGGCTTAAGGTGAGAAGGGAAAGATTTAAAAGGGTACTAAGGGGCAACTTTTTCACGCAGAGGGTGGTGTGTGTGTGAATGAAATGAACTGCAAGAGGAGGTGGTGGAGACTGATACAGTTACAACATTTAAAAGACATCTAGATTGGTATATGAATAGGAAGGGTTTACAGGGATATGGGCCAAACGCTGGCAAAATGAACTAGATTAATTTAGTATATCTGGTCGGCATGGACCAGTTGGACCGAAGGGTCTGTTTCCGTGCTGTATAACTCTATAAAATGCTCATACGGAAATAAGACAGGAAGTAAGTTATTGTGAAGAGGAAGTGGCAGCATATTGGTATTAATTTTGAAGAGGATGCAAGATAGAGACCTGTGGGTGTTCATGCACAAAGCTTTTGAAGGTGACAGGCCAGGTTAATGTAACAGTTAATCATAAAGTGTGTGTGATGTCAGGCTTTATACAGCAAGCAAGTTGTACTAAAACTATAGAAAAAAAATCTGATAAAATATTGTGCCATTTCTGGATACTACACAATAACAGGGTGTGAAGCTTGGGGAAGGATATTGAAAGAGATTCATGAGAATGGCTCCAGGGATGAGCAATTAGTTACAGGACAGAATAGAGAAACTGGGACTGTGCCCTGAGCAGAGAAGGCCAAGGTGAGAGGTGTTTACAATTATGGATAAGTTTAGATAAATAATGAAGAATTGTTCCCAATGTCATAAGGACCTATAACTCCAGGTCACAGATATAAAGCTACTGGCAAAAGAACCAGAGACAACATGATGAAAAACACTTTCACAAAATGTGTGGCTAGAATTTGAAATGCACTATAGAATGCCCGGTGAATATTGATTCAATAGTAACTTTCAGATGAGAAGTACATAAATATTTAAGGGAGAACATAACAGCAGGGATATTGGGAAGATCAACTAAACGGGCTTCTCCAAAACAGCTGGCACAGACTCAATGGACTGGATGCCCTTCTTCAAGCAGTAATTCTCTATCATTCATTGGATGATATTTTAATTAAGACACTCGTCACCTTTCTTTTCCCCCATGGAGAAGTAAAACATCTGGATTCACAAACTTCTAAAGGATTTTGTCTTCTTAAAATTGTTCAAACAAAGTAATATCATAGAATCCCTACAGTGTGGAAACAGGCCCTTCGACCCAACAAGTCCACATCGAACCTCAGAGCATCCCACCCAGACACATCCCCCTATAACCCACCTAATCTACGGGCAATTTAGCATGGCCAATCCACCTAACCTGCACATCTTTGGACTGTGGGAGGAAACCAGAGCACCCAGAGGAAACCCACACAGACATGAGGAGAATGTGCAAACTCCATGCAGACAGTCATCCGAGGCTGGAATCGAACCTGGGTCCCTGGTGCTGTGAGGCAGCAGTGCTAACCACTGTGCCACCGTGCCACCCTGGCAAATATTATGGCAGGAACAAGATCCTGTTGCCAAAACAGTGCAACAATTATCTCCAAATTGAACAATTACAGCTCCAACCAAGGTGTAATGGAAAATTATAAACAAGGAAGACATCAGTTAAAAGAACTCTCAGCAATTCAATGTTTCTAACGTTGGGAAAGTGATAAGAAAGACTGCTTCTTATCAAAAAAGTACAAACATCTGTTAAAATGTGTGTTCTGTTTAAAGAAAACTGTTGAGCTATGGAACATTTGCACATGTGAGCCTCCAGAGAGGCTACGGCTCTAAAATGCCTACGGTTGAAATGGGATTTCAGTGTGGTGAGGTAAGAGCAGATTGTGTTAGCAGACTTTGTTCATCTGGACTGTAATCACTGACTTCCCAAGGAAGGGCAGCAATGTCATTTTGGAGTGTTGATAGCTCATGTGATAAGACTGCAGTTCATCTTTCTGGATGGACTCTCCTAGGATGATCCATGAGCTTTCTAACATTCCAAGTTGTTGCAATACTTACAGAGGGTTCCTTCTTTGACTACAAAGGTGATGAAACCATAGGGTGTGACTCCCCAGCCAGGAGAATGTGGTCCAGCTTATCTTTAGGATACCCATTCTAAATGCACCCCATTTGGGGTGAGCAGAAGGTATCCCGAGGAGGGCTGCTCAGTCACAAATGTGACTTTCCAAGGATACCTCTGTCTCAACAGAGGTGTCCAAAGCCCTTCACACGTTTGTCACCTGCGTTCAGATTCCTGACTAGGAACTCTTAGGTTCACAGCTATGTCTCCATTGCCAATTTTCCATTACCAGGTGATTAGGCAGGAAGCTGTGACTATGGCTAACATGGGGCCTTGGAGCGCCTCATCGTCCGCACGACAGTGATGGGTTGGTGGTCAGATTGCTGTGACATGTCGAATTGCAATGATCAGACCACCTGGGCACTGCTGCCTTCTTTTTTTGAAACTGGCCATCCTTCAGCCTGTTCTGTCATTGACGACTTTGGATTGCCCTCTGACTGGCACCCCACCGCCAGCCTTGACACCATGATGGCCCGACCCGGAGGAAGGAATTCCATGTGGCGCCACTTACAGGATTGCTGAAGCATACAAGCCTCTCCACTACGTCCATACAAGAAGGTAAGGAGATGTTAAGAACTCAATAAGGAAGATGAAAAGCAACTACAAAGACAGTAACATCTTAGGATGTCAGTAGATATAGAACTGCTAAAATTGGGATGTTTGAGAGGACATAATTGTCTGAAAATGTGGACGTGGCAGATTCAGTGAATCAAAGGTGCATAGTTCCTTGCAAGTGGAGTCACAGCTAGACAGGACAGTGAAGAAGGTGTTTGGTACGCTTGCCTTTACTGGTCAGTGCATTGAGTATAGGAGTTGGGAGGTCATGTTGCGGCCGTACAGGACATTGGATAGGCCACTTTTGGAATACTGTGCTCAGTTCTGGTCTTCCTGCTGTAGGAAGGATGTTGTTGAACTTGAAAGGGTTCAAAAAGAATTTACAGAGATATTTCAACGATTGGAGGGTTTCAGCTATAGGGGCAGGCTGAATGGGCTGGGGCTATTTTCTTTGGAGCATTGGAGGCTGAGGGGTGACCTTATAGAAGTTTATAAAATCATGAGGGGCATGGACAGGATGAATAGCCAAGGTCTTTTCCCAGGGTAACACAGTCCAAAACCAGAGGGCATAGGTTTAAGGTGAGAGGGGAACAATTTAAAAAGGACCTGAGGAGCAACATTTTCATGAAGACAGCGGTGCCAGAGGAAGTGGTAGAGGCTGGTACAATTACAACATTTAAAAGGCATCTGGATGGATATATGAATAGGAAGGGTTTAGAGGGATATGAGCCAAATGCTGGTAAATGGGACAAGATCTATTTAGGATATCTGGTCAGCATGGATGAGTTGGACTGAAGGGTCTGTTTCCATGCTGTACAGCTCTATGACACTATGCAAGATTAATCAAACAATTATCTGAAGAGAAACAACTTGCAGGGCTGTGTGGAAAAGGCAGGGAAGTAGAACTGGCTGAGTAACTCTTACAGAGAATGTGAACAAGTTCTTTCTATGCTTGTAACCATTGTCTTGGGGACTGATTCACTCAATTGGCTGGGTGGCTGGTTTGCAATGTAGAGGGACACGAACAGTGCAGGTTCAATTCCCCCACTGGCTGAGATTAACAGGAAGGACTCTCCTTCTCAACCTCTCCCTTGCCAGAGACGTGGTGACCCTCAGGTTAAACTCATCACCAGTTGTCTCTTTCTAATGAGAGGGCAGCCCTATGGTCCCCTGGGACTATGGTGACTATACCTTAACAATTCTATGGTGATCAGTATTAGATAGAGATAAGAAAAAGTGACAAAATATTTAATAGGCAGAATTTACAGTGAGGTCATCAAAATTAGGAATGGATAAGGAGAATGATAGTTAAGCTAACAAAAGACAAACTGTCCAGCGAGTTACATTCTAGGATTCTGCAGGCAGAAATTGCCGAGACCTTCAAAATGGTATCTCAGGGCTCTATGAGTGGACACACATCAGACATTTGGAGATTTGTGACTGCAGAACTAATTTGTGAAAAAAGACAATGGCTAAACTAGCTATTTACAGACCAGTTAGCTTAGCATCTGCAGAAAACAAAATTTTAGAATATATAAGTAAGAACGAAATGACCGTGCATCCGGATAATAAGAAAACAGTTTGCTGTTTCTCTTATGGACGGTAAAAAGAGTTTCCTGCTTGACAAGCTTTTGTAGAATTCTTCAAGTTGATAGCAGATGAAAAAGTGAAAGAAAAGTCTAAGGACTGCACAAGATAATAGATAAATGGCCGTGATTTTAATGCAGTATTTAATTTAATAACTCTGATAATGTTAAGCTGTTCGCAAGAGTCTGTGGTTTCTATCTAATTGAATCAATGCTCAGAGATCTGCTCTCATCGTGTGCTTTGCCTTTCCCTCTTCCTTTAACTGTTTCTCTCTAACGGTGATCGTCTGTCTCCTGTGCTCTCTTATCCATTTGCCTTCCACATTAGCACTGAAGCAAATATCCACAATTCTGCTATACACAGACAATCAAATGTTCCTCACCTGGTAGGTAACAGTTTTCTTCCCGTCAGCACGTGTTAATGGCAACGTCAAAGGTCCGGAAATGACCCAGACATTTTCATATCGCTGGGTCAGCTCACGGCAGTACATTTCCAGCCTGCCAAAGCAAAAACAACAGAATGCAAACTCATCTGATTCAACACTTTAACTTACTTTCTTCACTCCAACATTGGCCACACAAGCAATGTGGCTTGGTGGGGTGAGGTGGGAGGGTCTAGCATGAAAAAAAACGCACCCTGTTATGTACACAGATTACTTTAAATGGGTTGCGAAAAGCCAAATTGTTCCTGTGGAAGCTCCAAAAGGGTGCAACATCCATCAGAAATGAGACTGCTCTCAGATACTGTGCAATTAGTTTTGCAAAGTTATGATGAGCTGGGTCAAAGGATCAACTACCATGAGCTCAAACTTATATTTATTACTTTGTCCTTCAGTCTTGAACATTGGCAACACCAGCCATTATTGCCCATCCCCAGCTGCTCTGGCAGGTTAGGCCATTTAGGGTATGTTTAAAAGTCAACCAAATTGGTGGGCAGCTGGAGTTATGCATATTGTAGAGAGTGTAAGGATTTTCAGACAAACCATTAGTTTCTTGTTCCGTTTTCACTGATGCCAGCTTTCTATTTCAGTATTTCAAAGTTACAACCTCAGGGGATCAAGGATATCAGGCACCATCTGCACGTTTCCCCTCCAAGCCAAATACCAGCCTGATGTGGAACTATGCTGCCAGTCCTTCACTGTCGCTGAGTCAAAATCCTGGAACTCACTCCTGAACCGCACTGTGGCTATCTCTACACTGCACAGACTGCAGCAGCTGACGGAGGGCTGCGCAATAATTCCTGGCCGTGAATGAAAAAAAAAGTTGATTGCTTTAAAATGCTCCAACTGTCAAGGTGGGATTTGAATTCCTGCTCTCTGGATACAGAATCTGATCTACTCATCCAGTGACATGAACACTACACCACAGCACTCAATGGCTAGTGGCCTTTTTTCTAGGGTGAGGTGAGGGATTTGAGCTCCATCTCCATGAATCCAAAATGTGGGACCTTATGATGGAAGTTCAGAACCAGGTCAATCTTCTGTAACAATCAATTTACCTGATGCCTGAACCAGGCATAGGGCAGCACGGTGGCTCAGTGGTTAGCACTGCTGCCTGATAGTGCCAGGGACTGCGTTTGATCCCACCCTTGGATGACTGTCTGTATGGAGTTTGCACATATTCCCTATGTCTGCATGGGTTTCCTGCCACAGTCCAGGGAAGTGAAGGCTAGGTGGATTAGCCATGGAAAATGCAGGGTTATAGGGATAGGGTAGGGTGTTGGGTCGAGGTGGAATGCTCTTTGGAGGTTTGGTGTGCACTTGATGGGTTGAATGGCCTGCTTCCGCACTATAGGCATTCTATGATTCCCTAATACTGCACAGTAATGAACAGGCACAAGGAGTCTGGATTAACTCTTCATTTGATGGCACGCACCTCAGACAATATAGCTCTCCTTTCATACCCTGCCAATATGTCATCCAAGCCTAGGCTGTAGGAGAATAACTGTTGGAGTGCCAGAGGCATGCTACTTCAGTGATGTGTAGCAATTAAAGAAGATGTGATTGTTGTCCCCAAAGCAGGGAGGGCTAAAAGGCTTTAACACTGAGGATCAAAATCATGGGGACTTCTGAAGGAACAAACAGAGAGAAACTGCTCCTCCTAGTAAGAAGTTCAGTAACCACGGCACAGAGATAACTCCAAAGAACCAGCAGAGGTCTGGAAGCTTTAACTGCACAAAGATCTGGAAAGCACGGTCTGACAGGGCGGGTGCAGACAAATTCGCGTGTAATTTTCAAAGTGGAAACAAATAAATAACTGAAAAGGAAAATTTGAAGGCACCAGAGGAGGCTGGAACAATCTTTCAGAACAGCCATTATTGACATGGTGGACCAAATAGCCTACTGGAGAACTATTATTCTATTCCATGACTGAACCAAATACAAATCCCAAGAATAAGCCCCCAACTTGTCATCTGTTAACTTCCAAACCCCATTAACAGTAGAACACCGAGCAACTCAGGCAACGGAAAGGAGGATTAAGAGTAAACCAACTGAGCTCACACATTCTTCCTCCCCTTATAACACTGGAACAAAAGCCATTCACATTTTGGGTCTGATGTGGGAGATCAGCAGTGGACAAAGCAGACTAGAGAGAAGCAGATTCTGCTTGAGCAGAAGTAAACAGATCCCACGATAATGCAATGGGTGTGGCCATATACATACAGAATAATTTCTGTCACGTATAAATGCTGTCTTTTTGTCTGGACTATAGTCACCTGGGTCATGTGTTGAAGGAAATGTTTTCCTGCATATAGAAGTACAACACAAAAACATGAAAGCAGAGGAATTAAAGGCATTTTACAGGAATACCAGCAGGAAAGATTTGACACTAAATTATCGAAAGAGGTATACTGCAGGCCGGGGGTGGGGGTGGGGTGCAGTTTAAGAAGCGATTTACAGGTGGTTTGGGAGACAGAGTTTGTGAGGAAATTCCAGACTTGCAGACCATGGCAACAACAGCCACAATGATGGACGCATTAAAATCAGAGACGAGCAAAAGTGTGCAGAGATCTCGGATGATTGTTGGGCTGGAGGAACTAACAGAAAGAGGGAGTAATGAGGACATGGTGTGAGCTGAATACATGGATAGGAATTTTGAAGGTGTGCTATTTCCTAATTGGGAACTGCAAATCAGCAGTCAGAGGTTTTTGGGGTGACTGTTGAATGTGATTTCAAGAAAGCGTGAGGCAGAAAGTAGATGATGAGGTAACTGGAGAGCTGGGAAGAACAGAAGAGATGATAAAATCTGGACTGAGAGTGTATGTGAGCCCATTTTGTGTGTGCCATCAGGTTCTTAACATTAAAACTATTTAATGCATAAATTTTCTGGCTCTTCAAGAGAGCATTTTGTATGTTTTAATTGTCTGGTGTTTTTGCACATCACTAATGATTCATATTTATGCAAGCACCTGTTAATTCAACAATGCCGGAAATTGCACTAAATAAATCACAAACTCTAAACATTTGTTGGAGAGATTATGCAGGTCATCCATACCACATACACTCCAAACACTAGGAATCTAATTGATATACACTATATTTATCCGAAGTTATTTTTCCAGTAACTTTGCATCACAGCCATATCATAAACAGATTCCCTTAAAGCTATATCAGTGATCCGAGAGCTGGGCAAAGACAAAAAAATCATGCCACACTGCAACAATTTGTCCATCGTGCCTTAGCTAACTCTTTGATGGTTTCATGAAGCACATTTGAAGGGCCAAATGGCCTACCCTCCTCCTATTTTCGATGTTTTCTACGTTTCATCTAATTAAGGTTTTGTATAATCAAGTCCGGTTTATGAATATATCAGAAAAAGCAGTGATCATTGTACTGACCCCATACAATTAACCCACTAAAAAAAAAACACCACTAATCTCTGCTTTGTGGCCCTTAGCCAGCTTTATGTCCATGCTGTCATGGTCCCATGCAGTCAAAAAGGGGTTTTGGGTGGGGGCGTGGAACTGCAGACAGAAACATGGAGCTGAAACCAAAACCAGATCAGCTATGGATTAGGCAACAAGGGCAAAATGGTTTACTCCTGAACCATAGTTTCTATGATGCCATTGGTTTTGATTTTGACAATGTCTTATTAGCTATTCAAAGGCTTACATGGCCCATTTACTTTGAACATGGGACCTGAGGCTATTAACCAACAAAGTACACCGTCAATTAAAAAATGAGGTTTTATACTCTGCCTGGAGTTGCACTGGGAGAAACAAAGCTCCATGGCGCCCCAGGTCGTACTGACTACAGAGATTCTCGGTACTTTGAAAAACTCAAAGCAATTGGGAAGGAACAGATAACACAGTGTGGGGCTGGAGGAACACAGCAGGCCAGGCAGCATCAGAGGAGCAGGAAAGCTGACGTTTCGGCTCAGGTCCTGCTGCCTGGCCTGCTGTGTTCCTCCAGCTCCACACTATGTTATCTCAGACTCCAGCATCGGCAGTTCTTACTATCTCTGGGAAGGAACAGCATGGTTTTGTGAAAGGGAAATCCTGTTTAACCAGGTTATTGGAATTCTCTGAGGGAGTAACAATGTGCTGTGGATGAAGGGGAGCCTGTTAATGTACTGGACCTGGATTTCGAGGAGGTTTTTGACAAGGTTCCACTAAAAGGTTAGTGCAGAAACTCGGAGCTAATGGTTCTGAAGGTAACATACAAGCATGGATAGATGGATGTGCTAAGTGGGATCTGAACATCAATTTTTTAGAATTTACATTAATAATTTAAGTAAGGCGATCAAAGGCTTATTGGCTACATTTGCAAAACAATGACACAAAAAAAACAAGAAAGCATGTTTTGAAAATGACATAAAAAGGATTCTAACTGATATCGATCGGTTAAGTGAGTGTGCCAAAATCTGACAAGTGGAGTATAGTGTGATAGAGTGTGTGCTGTTCACTTTTTAGGAGAATTTTTTTAAAAATTATCTAAATGGAGAATAAGTGTAGAATTCAGACAGCGAGGCATTCTGATACATGATCCACAAGCACCCACTCCCTCCACGACTGATGCTCAGTAGCAGCAGTGTGTACTATCTACAAGATGCACTGCAGAAATTCACCAAAGATCCTCAGACAGCACCTTCCAAACCCATGACCACTTCCATCTAGAAGGACAAGGGCAGCAGACATATGGGAACACCACCACCTCCAAGTTCCCCTCCAAGCCATTCACCATCCTGACTTGGAAATATATAGCAATTCCTTCACTGTCACTTGGTCAAAATTCCCTCCTTAAGGGCATTGTGGGTCAACCCGCAGCAGGTGGACTGCAGCGGTTCAAGAAGGCAGCTCACCACCACCCTCTCAAGGGGCAACTAGGGACGGGCAAGAAATGCTGGCCAGCCAGTGACACCCACATCCCACAAAATGAATAGAAAATAAAACAACTCTGATTTCTCATCACGGATGCTACCAGACCTGATGAGCTTTTCTAGCAACTTCAGTTTTTTTTCCAGTAAAACTAAAGATCTTATGCTTCAGTAATACAGGGTATTGGTGAGACCACATTTCAAATTGTGTGCGCAGTTTTGATCTTATTTAGGCAAGGGTGTAAATATGTTGGCAGCAATTCAGAGGAGGTTACCCAGATTGATACCTGGCATAACTGTTTTGTCTCGTAAGGCACGGGTGGACAGACTGGGCTTGTTTCCTCTGGCGTTAGGGCAAAGTGGAGTTTAGAAGGGTGAGGAGCGATTTGATTAAGATCATAAGATTCTGAAGGCCTGCAGAAGATGGATGTGGAAAGTATGTTTACTCTTCTGGGTAAGTCCAGAACTACGGGACACTGTTTAAAGAGGTTACCCTTTTAGGTTGGAGATGAGGGCTGTGTGACTTTAGAATTCTCTGCCTCAGAATAGAGTGATGCTGGGGTCGTTGAATACTTTTAAGACAGTGGTGGATAGGTTCTCGTTAGGGACTGGATTAGTAGGGAATATTAGGAATGTGGAATTTGAAACACAAATAGATCAGCCATGATTTTGTTGAATCACAGAGATGGGCCAAATGGCCTACTTCTCCTCCCAATCCATGTGTGTGTGCATGTGTTTGGGATCAGTCACTGCTCTTGACCAGATTTTTTTTATCGAAGCTGAAGTGACACAATTGGCCTTCCTGATCCAAGGATCCTGGTATGGATCCTCTTTCTGTTAGGGAGTTGGATCCTGCCCAAGTCGCTGATATGAGGGCTTTGGGGTGGACAGGATCAGGCTCGGCTCATGCTTTTCCAGCTCAACAGGTCTGTTGACAGTCAAAGTCTAGATCTAACTGGGCCAAGGTGCTATAAGGGGGCCAAGAACCAACCGTCTTGAGCCTTAAAGTATAAGGCACCATGAGTAGAGAGGTGAAAGCTGGTAGTTTGAGAAACTGGCTGTCATTTGCTCGGAGGTTTATTCGGCATTGGCACAGGCCTTGATTTCAAGGAATTTGGGTTCTCACCTGTTCCAGAAGCCAGCATTGTTTTCAAAATTCTGAGGCACAATGTTGGACAGATAGAATGTTTCTGCCATGGCTTGCTGCAGAAGAGAAAAAAAGCACAGCACTGGATTATAATAAACTTAGATGCAAAGGGCAAAAGCTTTGCAAACTTGTTTGAGAGGAATGTGGGTTAATCAGGCTGACTTGATGAGTATCAAGGTAAGAACACTACTGATTAGTCTTCATACTGTGACAACCTTAGCATTCCAGCTTTCTTTGTTTGTTAAGGAAGGTTAATTCGATTTGAGAGTAATAAGCACGAATATTTGACACTGTAACACTGGTTAGTTTTAGCACAAACTGATCACTAGACTTAATGACAAAACTAAACCAAATGTAGAAAGTAGTTAATAAAAAGGAGCAGGAGTAGGCCATTCGGCCCATCGAGCCTGCTCTGCCATCCAATATGGTCATGGTTGATCATCCAATTCAGTCCTCTGTTTCCACTTTCTCCCCATACCCTTTGATCCCTTTAGCCCTAAGAACTATATCCAATGACTTCTTGAAAACATTCAATGTTTTGGCCTCAATCGCTTTCTGTGGCAGAGAATTCTACAGGCTCACCACTCTCTGGTTGAAGAAATTTCTCCTCATCTCAGTCTTAAATGGCCTATCCGGTATCCTTAAACTATGAAGCCTGGTTCAGGACTCCTGGTCATTGGGAATATCCTTCTTGCATTTATTCTGTCTAGTCCTGTTAGAATTTTTATAGGCTTCTATGATGGCCCCTTTGTTCTTCTAAACTCCAGTCAATATACTCCAATCTCTCTTCATACATCAGGCCTGCCATCCCAGCAGTCACTCGGAGATAGCAAGAACTGCCAATGCTGGAGTCAGAGTCAATACAGTGTGGAGCTCGAGGAACACAGCAGGTCAGGCAGCATCAGAGGAGCAGGAAAGTCAACATTTTGGGTTTACACCCCTCGTCACCACTCTCCCACTGCAACCCACTGATGATCTCCTCCACCCTGAAGCTCTTCGACCACATAATGAAACAAACCATTTACTACAGCCACTTCTCCTTTCTCAGTCCTGATGAAGGGTGTAAACCCGAAACATCAACTTTCCTGCTCCTCTGATGCTGCCTGACCTGCTATGTTCCTCCAGCTCCACACTGTGTTGACATCCCAGGAATCACTCTGGTAAATATTTGTTGCACTCCCGCCATTGCCAGAACATCCTTCCTCAGGTAAGGAGACCAAAACTGCAAAACTGCAATACTCCAGGTGTGGTCTTACCAAAACCCTGTACGATTGCAGCAAAACAATCCTGCTCCTGTATTCGAATCCTCTCACTACGAAAGGCCAACATACTATTTGCTTTCTTCACCGCCTGCTGCGCCTTCAAGTTTACTTTTAGTGACTGGTGCACAAGGACAAACGGGTTTCAGTGCATCTCCCCCTCTTCCCACTTTATCGCCAATCAGATAATAATCTGCCTTGCTGTTTTTGCTACCAAAGTGCATAACCTCATATTTAACCACATTAAGCTTCGTCCTTCATACTTTTGCCAACTTACTCAACTTGTCCAAGTCACACTGAAGTATCTCTGCATCCTCCTTACAGCTCAGCCTCCCACCCAACTTTGCGTCATCTGCAAACTTGGAGATATTACATTTAGTTCCCGCATCTAAATCATTAATACGTACAGTGAATAGCTGCATTACAAGCACTACTTCCTGCAGTACCCTACCAGTTATGGGCAGCACTGGGAAAAGGACCAATGTACTCCTTCTCTGCTTCCTGTCTGCCAACCAGTTCTCTGTCCATGTCAGTACACTACTCCCAATTTCACACACTTTATTTTTACAGGGTGTTTGGTACACTTGCCTTTCTTAGTCAGTGCATTGAGTACAGGAGTTGGGAGGTCACGTTGCGGCTGTACAGGACATTGGTTAGGCCACTCTTGGAATACTGCGTTCAATTCTGCTCTCCCTGCTATGGGAAACATATTGTGAAACTTGGAAGGGTTCAGAAAAGATTTATAAGGATGTTGCCAGTGTTGGAGCATTTGAGCTATAGGGAGAGGCTGAACAGACTGGGGCGATTTTCCCTGGAGCATCGGAAGCTGAGGGGTGACCTTATAGAGGTTTATAAAATCATGACAGGTATGGATAGGGTGAATGGCCAAGGTCTTTTGCCCAGATTAGGGGGGTCCTAAAACAGACAGCATAGGTTTAAAGTGAGAGGGGAACAATTTAAAAGGGACCTAAGGGGCAACATTTTCATGCAGAAGGTGGTGCGTATATGGAATGAGCTGCTAGAGGAAGTGATGGAGGCTGGTACAATTACAACATTTAAAAGGCATCTGGATGGATATGTGAAGAGGAAGGGTTTAGAGGGATATGGGTCAATGGCTGGCAAATGGGGCTAGATTAATTTAGGATGTCTGGTTGGCATGGACCAGTTGGACCGCAGGGTCTGTTTTCATGCTGTACATCTCCATGACTGTTATGAAGTTGTGTAGAGAAATCGTGAATTGGAAGGCAGGAAGCTGGAATTTGTTTGTTAAAAAGTCATAAGGGAGAACAATGCGTGGTCCCTTTAAGAGATAAAGTGCTTTTCTAAGCTTGTCTGTATGTAGCTGAAGATGTACAGTCAGTTCTGAAATTGAAATTTGTGTCAATTGGCTGTGTGAGTGGAAACCTTAGGCTTGTTTTGATGTTTTGAATCTGCCAACTAATTTAAAGCATGCACTTAGCAACTGAAAGCCAATTGAATTTAGATCTGATTGCTTCGACAACCTCGGACCAAAGCTATTGTAAGAAAATTGACATGTCATCCAAGATATATAAGGAGAGGATTTTTGCAAACTGCCATCTAACAAATAAACATGTAGCTCTCACATGAAATCACTAGGGAAGCACATCTTATCCATAAAAGGTAACACGGCACTTCTAGCTAAGAGTCTTCATAGAGAAAACATCCCTGACAGCAGGATCAGCGGAAGAAAGGTGCTTATGACTTGACAACAGCAGAAGAAAGGCATTTATAACTGGAGACACAGTGGAGAAGGCAGAGCGCTCCAGAAGACACATTCTGTGTGGACTTTGAGAGATTAAGTTTTAATTTTTTTTTCTTACTACTTGGGTTATATAAGTGGGGCTCGTGTTTATTGGCATAGCATACCAGTAGAATTTTGTTCAGTTAGGGAATATTTAGGAGTTGAGGGGAATTGTTTGGTGTATTAGCAGTTCTGTTAATTTGTTCGCTGTTAGGATTAAATAAATAAATTGCTACTTGCTACTTTTAAACTGAATATCAGGGATTTCCTTTCAGTTAAACTCCTCTCCTCAGTAACAATGACTCCATACTAATCCCTCATGCGAGAATTTATCAAAAGTCTCCTGAAAGTGCAAGTAAACCACATCCACTGATATCTGCTCATCAACACTATCAGTTATATTCTCAGGAAATTCCAGTAGATTTGTCAAGAATAATCTTCATTTCATAAACCTATATATATTTAATATTTCATAAACCAAAATATATATTTAATTGGTTTGCCATCTCTTTGTTCCCCTTTATAACTTCCCCTTTATCTGACTGTATGGGACCCACATTTATCCTGACCGATATTTCTGTCTTCACATATCTATAGTAACTTTTAGTCAGTTTGTATGTTCCCCACAAGCCTGCTCTCGTACTCTATTTCCCCATCTTTGTACTCCTTTGCTGAAATAAAAACCGCTCCCAATCCTCAGGTCGGCTGCTTTTTTTGGTCAATTTGTATGCCCTTTCCTTGGATTTAATATTATTCCTAATTTTCCTTGTAAGCCACGGTCTGGCCATCTTTCCCATTTTATTTCTGTGCCAGACAGGAATGGGCAATTACTGCAGTTCCTTCATGCGTGTAACTGCTTATCACTGCCTTTCCACCGTCATCCCCTTAAGTAATACTCACCAATTTATCAAAATGACCTTGTGCCTCAGATCATTGCGGTTTCCAACATTTACATATCTAAAATGGTATTCTGCTGCACAATATTCCAACTCTTCAGAGAGTTGCGATCAGTCTGCCAGTTCAGTAAGGATTTTGTGAACCTATATCCTATAGTCTCTGTAACTTTAATGTCTTGTTATAGACTGGAGGCCGTCTTAACTTTCATAATCCTCACACAAGATACAATAGGGCAGATGGCAAAAAGCTTTATCTCAGATGTAGGCAGTATTAGTGTTGGGAATGAAAGGGTATTCAGAATTTAATGGTTAGTGAGCAATTAAAATCAGGAGTACTCAAGGCTGGAATCAGAGCTGTGCTAATAGCCGGAAGGTTGCAGGGGTGGAGGAGATTAATAAGATATGGAGGGGACAAGGTCATGGAGAGCTTTAAAAACAAGGATAAGAATTTTAATAAGGCAGCGTCATCCTTACATCCACAAAAACAACTGAAAAAGCAGCAACAAATTCCTCAGCCTATTGCCCTTTTGGGGAAGTGCTTCAGTGTGACAAACCTGGGGACTGAGGAGTGGTGGAATTAGTTACTCGCTGTTTCAACACTGCCATCTTGTGACGGGTAATTGCTACAACAGCGTCTTCTTGTTGAAAATGACACTGGCCACCCGGAAAGGACTTTAGTTTGCAGATAACAATGTCATCTCTGCTCTCTCGGAAGGGAATCCTCGCTTAACGCCCTTGCGAAGCACGCTGATGAATTAGTCTTGGCCTCAATCTCAAGAAGACTCAAGTCCTTTAGCAACCCGTCCCAGGGTAAGTACCAATACATCCCTCCTTTAAGATTGATGGAGGGATCCTCCCAAAAGCTGGACATGTCCCGTCACTGGGAAGCTACCTCATCTCACACTGACATCGATGTGGTAATTCAATACTGCATTCAATCTGTGAGAGCCTTCTTCAGTTGCCTAAGAATAAGGCAGTCATCCTCCCACTCTTCTATATGGCTCCAAAACTTGGTTGACACACAGATGCCACCTCAAGGACCCTGAAAAGTACCATTGATGCAGTTTGAGAAGGATACTCAGCAAAGCTGGGAGCTCAGGCATACTAACATCAGCATCCTTGAAGCGGCCAATAGCACC